AAAAGATTGATCATAAATTTATCTAGTTCCATAAAAGTCCGTAAATGAGCGCAGGCTCCCGATTTCAATTGGGAGCGAATTGTTGGGCTGCCTGTTGGATCACGTTCTGGACCGACTCTTGCCTGCATCACCGATGAGCGGACAACAATGACTCAGAAGATGCGGAGACATACCCGACACCGACAATCGAATACCCGTCTGAGGGTGAGACTCCAGTGGAGTTCTGCACAGGCTCGATCCCGTTCTCTGTGATGGTCGGGGCTATGGCGGTACCATTGGCAGTGGTGAGATTTCCTTGTCCCCACTAGGCGGACGCGTCAGGCCGCAAGAGGAGGACCGTGAAACGGAGAACGCGCCTGATACTGAATGATTCCGGCTAATCCACTTGCGATCCCCTGCTGCAACCACTGCATGTACGCGTCGTTTCGCTGGGGATCGGTCACACCGTAGGGCGCGACACCAGGATTCAGCGTCACATTGCCTATGGGGCGGTCGCACTCATGCCAAAAGAAGAATAGCACAACTGCACACACCGATCTGATCATTGGCGAAGGGTGCTACAGTAGAATTGAAAGGCACAAAGGAAGGCGCGCTCTCCTGAGTAACAAGACCAAAACCAGACATGATGATAGGCTTGTTGGCCGTCTGTGAAGATTGCGAGTGCATCCTGATCCACTGCAGCCCTGCCTGGACGGTGTTGTTGAATGCAGGAAGATTCGGGTCATCGGGCGCGTATTGATTCTGGTCTGGGAAAAGCTGGAATGAGCCAAATCCGATCTGGGCAATCTGAGGGGACGGTCAGATGCATCGAGACATCACGCAAGAGCCAAACATGCATCGAGTATGTCCCCAGAGTCGACCCCGGTGGAACCATCAAACGCCGATCCGACACTGTTGTCTTGCCGCACGGTAGCTTGTGCGAATCAACAGTTGGTCTTGATGGTGAGCTCGGAACTCACGTGTTGCCACCCATTTGCCCCGCACTCTCACACCAGATGGTACTTCAGACTTGAGTCTCAGCGCTCGCGTTACCTTGCGGGCTGCCTTCCTCTCTTGGAGAACCGGGCTCGTGTCAGGGGCGATGGCACATTCTGGCGCTTCGCACTCCCAGAGGACGGCTGGGGTCGCGACGGACTCGGAGTTGTTGGCTGTTTGTTTACCTTAGGGCAGTCTGCGCAGAGGAATCCTTGAGTGCTAACAAAGCATGAGCGGGAAATGATGCTACACAACAGAAAGCTGACCCCGATGAAACCAGATGATTAGGGTCAATACTGCTGATGTGCGTGGCGATCTTTCGTGCCATAATGTCAGGGTGGTTGTGTTGCAAGACGACGTCGAATTCAAGGACGAGGTACACCTCGGGTCGTTGGCGACTTCCCAAGCCAACACGGACGCGTTGTTCACGTAACGTTACGTGAACAACGCGTCCGTGTTGGCTTGGGAAGTCGCCAACGACCCGAGGTGTACCTCGTCCTTGAATTCGACGTCGTCTTGCAACACAACCACCCTGACATTATGGCACGAAAGAATCGCCACGCACATCAGCAGTATTGACCCTAATCATCTGGTTTCATCGGGGTCAGCTTTCTGTTGTGTAGCATCATTTCCCGCTCATGCTTTGTTAGCACTCAAGGATTCCTCTGCGCAGACTGCCCTAAGGTAAACAAACAGCCAACAACTCCGAGTCCGTCGCGACCCCAGCCGTCCTCTGGGAGTGCGAAGCGCCAGAATGTGCCATCGCCCCTGACACGAGCCCGGGTTCTCCAAGAGAGGAAGGCAGCCCGCAAGGTAACGCGAGCGCTGAGACTCAAGTCTGAAGTACCATCTGGTGTGAGAGTGCGGGGCAAATGGGTGGCAACACGTGAGTTCCGAGCTCACCATCAAGACCAACTGTTGATTCGCACAAGCTACCGTGCGGCAAGACAACAGTGTCGGATCGGCGTTTGATGGTTCCACCGGGGTCGACTCTGGGGACATACTCGATGCATGTTTGGCTCTTGCGTGATGTCTCGATGCATCTGACCGTCCCCTCAGATTGCCCAGATCGGATTTGGCTCATTCCAGCTTTTCCCAGACCAGAATCAATACGCGCCCGATGACCCGAATCTTCCTGCATTCAACAACACCGTCCAGGCAGGGCTGCAGTGGATCAGGATGCACTCGCAATCTTCACAGACGGCCAACAAGCCTATCATCATGTCTGGTTTTGGTCTTGTTACTCAGGAGAGCGCGCCTTCCTTTGTGCCTTTCAATTCTACTGTAGCACCCTTCGCCAATGATCAGATCGGTGTGTGCAGTTGTGCTATTCTTCTTTTGGCATGAGTGCGACCGCCCCATAGGCAATGTGACGCTGAATCCTGGTGTCGCGCCCTACGGTGTGACCGATCCCCAGCGAAACGACGCGTACATGCAGTGGTTGCAGCAGGGGATCGCAAGTGGATTAGCCGGAATCATTCAGTATCAGGCGCGTTCTCCGTTTCACGGTCCTCCTCTTGCGGCCTGACGCGTCCGCCTAGTGGGGACAAGGAAATCTCACCACTGCCAATGGTACCGCCATAGCCCCGACCATCACAGAGAACGGGATCGAGCCTGTGCAGAACTCCACTGGAGTCTCACCCTCAGACGGGTATTCGATTGTCGGTGTCGGGTATGTCTCCGCATCTTCTGAGTCATTGTTGTCCGCTCATCGGTGATGCAGGCAAGAGTCGGTCCAGAACGTGATCCAACAGGCAGCCCAACAATTCGCTCCCAATTGAAATCGGGAGCCTGCGCTCATTTACGGACTTTTATGGAACTAGATAAATTTATGATCAATCTTTTGTGCTTGACTAT